TTGCATAGCTGAAAATATTTACTTTGTAACCCTTTCCTGAAAAACTTGGCCAATTTCTGCTCTGTAGGCTGTGGTGAATAAAGAAAACAAAAGTTCACAGTTTTATTAACCTACCCATGAACAGTTATTGTTTTGTTTTGGTTTTGGTTTTGTTTTGTTTGTGAGATGGAGTCTTGCTCATTCTTTCAGGTTGGAGTGCAGTGGTGTGATCTCAGCTCACTGCAACCTCCCACTCCTGGGTTCAAGTGATTCTCTTGCCTTAGCCTCCCAAGTAACTGAGATTACATGTGCATGCTGCCATGCCTGGCTAATTTTTGTACTGTTAGTAGAGACAGGTTGCAGCATGTTGGCCAGGCTGGCCTTGAACTCCTGACCTCATGATCCACTCATCTCAGCCTCCCAAAATGTTGAGATTATGGGCATGAGCCACCATACCCAACCCAGTTACTATTTTTACCTTTTATTCCATGCAGTCATTTCTCTGCATTTGTTTTAAAGGAGTTGAGGTTTTATATATACTTTTATACATACATATACATCTTTTCATGTGGTATGGTGAGAAAATTAATATATCTTGCTTTGTTATTAAGAATTTTTGTCAACTTCATTTTATATGGCTACTTAACCTGTCACAAAAATGTCCCATATGTTATAGTTGGACATTTACATTTTAATTTTTACTATATAAAAGTATTCTAAATTAGATTTTTGTATGTATGTAAAGTTTTTTTAGTATTTTATATTTTTCCTTATTTGGGAATAGCTTTAGAGGAGTGGAGTTCATGGCATTCTTCTGGCACATGCAGTTCATGATAATTGATGATTTGCTGAGGTTTTTAACATGCTGAAACCTTAAAACTTTTGTTAGACTTGGGGTTTCTATTCTCTTTCTGCCTTAAAATTGGGAGTTTGCATATTTTAAAAATCATATAATTTGAAAAATGCTACACTGTTACTGCATTTGCTCCCCCCAAAAATAGTAAATTCTAACAATGTGATTTAAAGCAGTATGAAACGTAAGTGATGTAAAGGTAAAATCACAATCTAGATAGACATGTTTGATATGGCAATTTTATGAGTAATTTGCAAACTTATTTGTAAAAACTGGAATAAATTTATGGAGTAGTAAAAGATATTTGAATGTTATGTACTTTCTAAAAAAAGATTTTTATGCTTAGCATAAAGATACTTCATGCTGAAATCGGTCTACCAATTATGTTCTTTGCCCAAAACTTGGTATCATTTTTATCTAATCCTAATATCTTACTTCATTACTTTTGTGCTTTTTTGCTTTGCATTTTTCATTCTGTGGTTTTGTGACTTTGAGCTAGTTGTTTAAACTTCTCTGGGCTTCAGTTTCCTTATTTGTAAACAGGTGATAATATGTACATCAAAGAGTTGTTGGTACTGGGCAAAATTGTGAACAAATCAAAGTTCTTGCCCTTTTGGAGCTAAAATTGTAGTGCCAGAAGAAAGACAATAAGTAAATTAAAAAATGTATACAATCTGAAATTTCTTTAGAAAACCTTGTTATAGGAAAAAAAATCAGAATAAAGGTGAGAGGAGGCTTCTCTGACAAGATTGCATTTGAACAGAGACCCAGTAGAAGTGAGGGAGTAAATTACATGGACATCCCAGGAAAAAGAACTTCAGGCAGTGGGAATAACAAGTTCACAAATCTCCTTATTACCCAAATCGCTTTGAAGGTATTAAAAGAAAAGGCCGGAGAACCCTTTTAAGACCTAGAAGGAGGATTTAAGAAACAACCACTAAAACTCATAATGGAAAAGATGAATAAATTTGGCCACATTAAAATTAGAGCTTTCTACATGACAAAACAATTTAAAACAAACTATAAAGTAGGAGAGTCAGTATACAGTACTTTAGGCAATTCGTATCTAAAAAAAAAAAAAAAAGTCCTCCAAGCTAATAAAATAAAGCAACTGTGCTTTTGGAACAAGGGGGAATAAATGGGGTAGTGTACTGAAGATTAAACCAAAAAGGCAGAATCAACTATCAAAAGATGCTTAGAACCAAGTGGGGAGCTATTGATACAATTTTTTCCTTACCAGTTTGATAAAAATAATTTGGCAGTATTGTGTTAGTGAAATTAAGAAAAATGGAAACTTACATTGCTCATTTGAGAGAACAAGTATGATTGTACCTAACAACTTTGAAAATACACTTACTGAACCTCTCAAAAATTTCACTTCATGTTATAAACCATAGAGAAAATATTGTACATATACTCTAGGAAACCTGTAAAAATATATTCTTTGAAGGAATATTTCTAGTAGCAAGCATTTGGAAACAAATGTTATCTATAAGATAAAGCAATCAAATATGATATACTCTTACAAAAATTATTTACATAATTTTCTGTTACTACATTGTTTGAATTTAAGCAGTTGAAATAAGAAACAGGTTACTCATAGTTTTCAACATTGTAACAATACAGAGGGAGAGTAGTAAAAATGATATGAAGAGACATTTATAGGGATATGTTATACTTGGGTGACCAAATGTAGTGCCCAATAAAATATACTTTTTACTTTTCTAATAACAATTTTGTTTCCTTAAACACAAATCTTTGTGGTTTACAAACAGACATATATATTTGTGTACATGTGCGCTTGCGTATGAAATTTGACCCTAAGAACATATTAAAATATGGCTTTACTACTCTTAAAACTGTCATACATTTTATTTTGTAAGCTTTATTTTCCCCAGTAATAGAAATACTGCCATTTCCCCCATGATTCATTAACGGAACCGAAAGCCGCTCAGTAGATGGAATCATTAAATGAATATATGTTTTACTTTTAATATCTACAAAATTCCATCTTAAATGCCATTTATGTTTGGAATATTTAAGTGTCATAGGAGCCGGGCGTGGTGGCTCACAACTGTAATCCCAGCACTTTGGGAGATCAAGGCTGGCAGATCACTTGAGACCAGGAGTTCAAGACCAGCCTGGCCAACATGCTAAAACCCCATCTCTACTAAAATACAGAAATTTTCCCGGGTATGGTGGTGCGCTCCTGTAATTCCAGCCATTTAGGACACTGAGTGATGAGAATCACTTTAACCCAGGAGGCAGAGGTTGCAGTGAGTCAAGATCATACCACTGCATTGCAGCCTGGGCTGCAAAGTGAAACTCTCTCAAAAAATAAAAATAAAAAAGTCATAGTAAAATAATCTGCAATTCTGTTTGAATTGTCAGCAGATTAAATATGTATATTTAAATGTGTAGATAAAAATTTTGACATGAATATAAAAGGTACTGCAGAAAAAATGATTAAAGGGGAAACTTAGTAACTCCTTGTTAAGGATCCAAATCAGTCACATCTGTCTGCTCCAGAAAATTGAGTTTTAAGCAGTAGAAATCTACACATGAACTGTTTTAGTGAAACAAGTTTTTAATTAATTTTGTTATTAACAATGTCTAATGTTTATGGATTTGGGGTAATTTATACAAGTATATGGTCCACAACACTTTAAGAATGGTGAATCTAATTTAAAGCCTATAGACTTATGCTGGTAATACCAAACAGTCATTCTCTTAACAATATTCTTTTCAGGCCACTGCTACAAGATTGAAACCCAGGAATTTCATAAAAATTTCAGTGTTTTTTAAGCTGTGTAGCACGGATCTCTAAAAGTTTAGTGCTAGTATATGGTATGTATGTGTATGGTGGTGAGGGTTCACATTGTCCAGGGTGGCAGGGGCTTTTTCTCTTGTATACATTAGCCTTCCAAATATAGGTTGTTCATGATTTTGTTTTCTAGGAAGGGTTCAATGGTAAAACATAATTTGAAAAACATTTGTATAGAAAGGTCATGGAAGCATAAATGCCTAACGAGAGAAGTCAGGCATTTATTATTATTCAGAAGTTGGATAATATGGTAACGAAGACAGACTTGAATATGAACATTACAATTTATTAATCAGAATTTCAATCATTTGGGTATAAAAACACGACTCAGAGAGGAAATGTTCTCTGCAAAATTTTCTCTGACCTCATCCACTTGATCGTATAGACATTGCCCAGTGTTACCCTTTGATCTTTTGTTAGCAGTATCATCCTGCACAGGAGATTTACTGATGCTGTTTATACACAAATAGCAGTAGAAATGAATACAAGGGAATCATAATGAAATTAAGCAAATTGTAGAGTTCTGTCCTAGAATTGTTTTATTTTTCTCTTCAATTTTTAATCTGTGAATCATTTGGGCAAAACATATATTTTCAGAATTGATGAGTTCTAAATCTTAAAGAGTAGACAATGTCAAATATATTGTAAAACATGGCAAAGAATTTTTTATGAAGAAGAAAATTTCCCATCATTTTCTTAATTCTAGGATTATTCAGCATAGCATGAATATATCCATCCTGTTGCAAACTGGTATTAAATACTAAAGTAATTTTGTGATTTCATTCTTAAAGTTTATCAGCTGACTAGCTCAGGGTCCTGCTAGATTCATTAAATTATTTGATTAAAATATGCTTGTTTGCTTTCATAAGACTTTTAATTGTATACCCCCAGATTTTCCAGTGACATACCTGAACTCATAAAGATTTTAACTAAACAAAATTGATTAAAAGACGCATTTAGAAGAAAGCTATGTACACACACACAATGAAAATGAAATGCGTCACCATGTCTGTAAGCAGTGCATGTCTTTATGTATAATGTGAAATGTTATAACTGGTTTTGAGAGTCCTTATAGTTTATATGTTCTGTGAAAATCCTGGAATTTAAGAGCCATTAGATTTAGCCTCTCAGTATCTCGCAAATCGAAGTTTCAGTTTATAAATTTTAAAAATTAAGGCATATATGCTTATACAAATGGTGATTTTATGCTATATAAAGATAATTCATTGTATTTACCTTTGTGTGCATTTGTAATTTAACCATTTTGGAACATTGTATTCAGATCCAGAAAAATTAATAGATTTTACTCATCTATTTCTATGGCTTCCTTGACAACTACTGCAGATGCTGCTATCACCATGGGGATGGTTCTTCTAAATGAAGCAGCAACTTCCAAAGGAGATGTTGGAAAAAGACGGAGTAAGTCTCTGTGTTGGCATTTTTGTAATTTTGTTTCAGTCTTAAGATTCATTTAAGACAAATGGGAAATACATCAAAGCCCTTTGTAAACATAAACTTTTTAAGAAAAGTTCTGGTTTGAAGAAGTTCAGATTTTTAACTTGTTTCTATTTTTGGGATGTGTTCATATACTTGAAAATGTATGTCTTCCAAAAGGGGACAGGGTAATTTTCTGTGGAATTGCATAGAAAGTGGAGCTGTCCTTCACCCTTGTCTGGGGTGCTCCAATCCATCCGTGCTGAAGCCATAGTCTTTGTTGTAATTCCATCCCAGACAGAGATGGAAAATTTCGTGGGCAAAATCTTCAGAGATTTTATTGGCATATAACATTCCCTCTGCCACAAGAATCAGGTATGCACTCAAAGCCGGACCCTGATGGAGAAGCTTTTGCATAGGTTTTCGACGCTGAGATATTACCTTACCACTCGTTCCAGAGCTTCCTTTAACATTTTTAAAAGGACATGTATTGAAACAATCTTTTCCAGGCTCTTTGCCTTTTCCACTTATAAACCAAGATCTATCAAGTTACCTAGCATTATGTTTTTCAGCAAGTTAGTTCTGTTGTTTTTCTTTGATGGGACCGTTCCTCTCAGAGTTGTGGAAAAACATGTAGTTTTTGAGAAGTAAAAATTTTGCTAGCAAAAAGAAAAGAATACATAGGGAAAATATGCTCTGAGGAGCATAGGTTAAAAAAGGACAGTTGATGTTTCCTGTCAGAGACCCTTTTATAATTAATACCAAGTCCCTGTATGATTTGGTATGTCCACAAACCTGTAATTTTCTCACTGTCCTTTGCATGTCTGAACTCTCTTTAAAACTCACAATTTACGTATGACCAACATAGATGTCTGAAAAAGACTACTGATTAAGATATTTAAAATAAAAGTCAGACCTAGTTTACGGGTTTTTAGCTAGTGCGACATGTATGTAAACAAATAATAGTGCTCTGAATACTTAGAAGTCTTAAGGGTTGAAATGTTTTTGATGTAATATACAGTGTAGATTGCCCTCTTTTCCTATGGTATTGTCTATACATTGTTTTAAAGAAATGACAAAAGAAATGAGGACATTATTTTGTTTATGTAATGGTGTTGAATTTTATTTTTTTATCTTTTGAATTAACATGATATTTTGGGGATTGACAAAGCATGCTTATGAGAACATACTCTTAATAATTTCAACTTTTATTTTAGATTTGGGGGTACATATATAGGTTTGTTACATGGGTATGTTGGATGATGCTGAGGTTTGGTTATGGATCCCATCACTCAAGTAGTGAGCATAGTTCCCAATAGGTGTTGTACACTGAGAGACTCCCTCCATCCGCACTCTAGTCACGTCACATGTATGTAATGTTTAGCTCCCACTTAAAAGTCAGAACACGTGGTATTGCATATTCTGTTTGTGTTACTTAGGATAATGGCCTCCAGCTGCATTCATGTTGATTGTAAAGGACATGATATTTTTTATGGCTGCATGGTATTCCACGGTGCATATATACCACATTTTCTTTATCTAATCCATCATTGCTGTGGTATATATGTACTGTGGAATCAACCTGAGTTGATTCCATGTATTTGCTGTTGTGCATAGGGCTGCAGTGAACGTAGCGTGCATATGTCTTTATAGTGGAATTATTTATTTTTCTCTGGGTTTGTACCCAGTAAGAGGATTCCTGGGTCGAAGATAGCTCTGACTTAAGTTTTTTGAGGAATCTTGAAACTGCTTTCTGCAGTAGCTGCTCTAATTTACATTCCCACCAACAGTGTGTAAGTATTCCTTGTTCTCCCCTTCCTCACCAGTATCTGCTGTTCGACTCTTTAATCATAGACATTCCAACTGGTGTGAGATGGTATCTCATTTTGGTTTTGATTTGCATTTTTCTGCTGAGTAGTGATAATGAACATTTTTTCATGTTTATTGGCCATTTGCATGTTTTCTTTTAAGAAATACCTGTTTGTGTGCTTTTTCCACTTTTTATTGGGGTTGCTTTTTGCTTGTGGATTTGTTTCCTGTAGATTTTGGATGCTAGATGTTTGTCAGATGCATAGCTAGCAAAAATTTTCTCTCATTCTGTAGGTTGTATATAGTCTAGTTATTTTGTTGTGCAGAGGTGCGTTAATCAGTCCCATTTGCCAATTTGTTTTGGAAACTTAATTTAAAAAATTGTTTGCCAAGGTCAGTGTTGAAAAGCGTATTTCCTACATTTTAAAGTTTTAGGCCTTTTAAGTCTTTAATGCATCTTAATTTTTACATATGGTGAATGGTAGGGGCCAAGTTTCATTCTCATGCATATGGCTAGCCAGTTGTCCCAGCAGCATTTATGGAATAGGGAATCCTTTCCCCATTGCTTTTGTCTACTTGGTTGATGATCAGATGATTGTGGGTGTGCAGCTTTATTACTGGGTTCTCTATTCTGTTCCATTGGTCTATGTGGAGGACATAGTCTTAATTTTATGTTTATTGTATGTCCTGTCTCATAAAGGTACATAATAGTAAGAAATATGTAGAAATTTTTAAATCTTACATTTATTATGATAATATGATACTGAATTAAATCACTATTTACAACTTCCCTCTTTGTAGATGTTTCTCTAACTCCAGCTCCCACCCACCCCCAAATTGTTTATTCATGTTATATGTGTGTATGAGAGTAAGCTGGCAAATATATTTAAAAATTTTTAAAGTATTCCTTTTTGATGTTATTTTTGTTTTGATGAGGCATGACTACTATGATTAGTATTTCCCAAGTTCAGGATGCTTCCTTTTCATCATGGCGTTTTCTTTTCACAGGTGTAGTATATCTCATATGGCTGCCATGGTTCCTTTAATAATTACTAACCCATCACTACTCTCAGTTCTCCTTTTCCATAAGCAAGTACTTGAGTAGCATTATTTTGTCCCGCTGCATAGGATCAAGTAAATATCTTCCGTCTTACTTGATCCCATATTTTGAGCCTCATTTCCCATAAAGCACAACCCAGTGGGGCTACTAAAAAGGAACAAAGGGAATGAAAAGAGTGCTCCATTCTTCTTCTGAAAAATAAAAAGATACACGGAAAAGAAAGGAATGTTAGATAAAATGCCAGATTTGGGGAGGTATAAATTATTTTGTAATTAATTATAGCTTTAATAAGATTGTTATAAGCAAAGTCGTTAATATGTTGTATCTAAGTCCTGGTGTCTGTCATACGGGGATATTCTATAATTTTCAAAAAACATGTTTTTGATTTTGTAATATTCATAAACTCATTTTTTGCTTTATTTTCTGCCAATATTTATTTGAAGTTCAGCTGCATGAGTGTTGTCTGAAATGAAATGTCAGAGGCTACACTTGGATGCTATTAAATGCTTATCATGTTTCACAATTGATATTCTTGCAAAGTTGCATAAAAACTGACTGACATATTTGCAGACCATATTTTGACAAAGCCATACCTTACATACTTACTCCATGATTTCCAGAACTGCAGTTAGACTTGGTTTCATTTGTATGTTGGCAAAAATTTTTTTAAATCATATTATGGAATCATATAGATCTGTTTAATTTTCCTTATTTTCTTCTGCTGTTAGTTTTTAATATTTTTTCTTTTACAAATAATTTCAAATATGGTTCAAATTGTGTAGAATTTTCTGAAATGAATAAAAGGTATGTTGTACAAATTATATGTTCTTAAAAGATGTTTAGATATTTCTAAGACATTAAATATATTTGCTGCCTTTTACTCTATATGTACTTTAATTGGCTCAAATATTTAAGCATTTCAATTTTATAAGTATGTTTAGATTTATTTTACTAATAATTGAATTGAATTATTTAACTACATATCCAAAATATATATGCAAAAGGAACATTTTATTAGTTATCTACTTTAGAGTAAAATCTTCTTAATCATAATAAAGAGGAAATGAGAAAATAACAAAGTACTTTTCCTATTGTCAGCTTTCCTGCGACAGGAATATTGAAAACCTAGACCACACATATTGGACTATAAGATATGCTCCCTGTTTCTTTTTAAGACTAACAACAATTTGCCACTATTATCTGCTATTGAGGGTTTTTTCTCCCCCCTGGCTCTCACTTAGACCATATTTTCTCTCTGCAAGTTTTTATTCCTAGACTTTTGTACATTAGGATAAACTCTTTCTATAACATGCTCTTACTGAGGCAATACTAACTGAAAACCTAAAATTACTGAATAGCATTTGAAAAGTTTACAGTTATATTAACCACTCTAATAATGCAAATGTTTCTGCTAAGATAGCCAATGCTTCACAGTACAAGGGCTAATAATCCTGTGTGTGGTTTATAACATGTTTTGTTTTGATCACTCTGGGGCATGTTAGTACCTATAGGAACTCTATAAGAGAAGAAAACCTCCATAAGACTTAGATCAGTCAATTTTGTTGTTTTCATACCCCAAATAGTACATTTTCATTGAGAAGAATGAACACATTGTGTTGTGGATAATCTGGTTTGTTGTACCTGTATGTGGCATGAAGTATTAAATGTAAGTACACTATAATTGAATGCATTTAAAACTATAAACAATTGGGGTTTCATTTGCATATTTTTAGACACTAATGGTATTTTCTGTCTGTTTCTAGTAATTTGCCTAGTGGGATTGGGCCTGGTGGTCTTCTTCTTCAGTTTTCTACTTTCAATATTTCGTTCCAAGTACCATGGCTATCCTTATAGGTAATATCTTCATACTAATATGAATGTTTCTATTCTTACCTAATACAACAGAATTTTAGTGGTTACTATATAATTAAGGATTAATGTCAAGTAGCTTACTTACTTGCTGTGTGATTTTTAAATTCCGTTAAGTTTTTGAGCACCTGCCATGTGTTCAGCATGGTGAACTACACCATGGAGATATAAGGCATAGTTCTTGTTCCCTGACAGGTATAGTTTGTTTTTAGACACTCATATTTTCATATGTACATATAACAAATGAAGTTTAAGCTCATTTTGAGGACTTCAAAATTTTTTCTTCTCTTAGTTTGTCTAATTATGATTTTGACTTTATTTGCAAGATTGTTTGGTCATATAATCCAGTGTTCATTGTCTGATAAACTTTGTATTTTAAATTCTACAACATTTTCACTTTGCAAAATAAGAGCCAACATGAAAGGGAAGAATTAAATGATAGAATAATCTCTGGTCACTAAAATAACTGTAACGAGTAAATTGTCATAATTGGAGATGAAAAGATACTGAAAATTCATAGACCACATTATTACCAAACTATACTTTCACTAAAGCACACTACATTAGATGTGCCAGATTACAGTTGTTCGGTTTATGAATTACACATATATTCATTCTTGTGCTTTTTCCTCCCTCAAGTTTTCTTTTTTATTTATTTTTTTACTTAATCATATTTATATATTTTATTGGAAAGAAAGAAAAAAAGGAGTAAAGGAGAGCAAGAGGGAGAGAGAACAGGAATGTAGCTTTATTCTAAAAACGGGTATTAATAAGTTTTCTTAAATAACTGCTTCGTTTTCTCTTCTCGACAGTCCTTTTAGCTTAGCTCATCTTTTTCTAATGAGCAGAAGCTCTGTATTGCCTTTTTCAGAGATTTTGAGGATTCTGCTTAGGTAGTATATTGATAGAAGGTAAAAACTCCTCATAGCCTACATTTCTTCCACCTATGAACAGTGGACATTTTTAGAATGTTTCTACACCGATCATAGCAACAATATATAGCTTAATCAGGGACAAAACTAATCCCATAGAAGTCAGATTTGACTATGGGATAATAATAGAAGAATAAGACTCCTCAACCCCATCTCTCTATTTTCATATATGGCCAGAGGCACATTTACAATTGTCTTCTTTACACACACCCATTACAAATAAATATACTAAGGGAATGGAAGAGATGTGGGTATCAGATTTAACTTGTAGGAACATTGCCTGACACCATGCCTGCATTGTAAATTTTTAAAAGTATCAGTTCTGAGGGTAGCAAGAGTTATAAGAGAGGCAAGCAGAGTCTTTAGTTTTTTCATTTTATTCTTGACATTAGTTACCCGGCCAGTTTTCGTTTGGATGATGTGAAATAAATGAATCAAATCCAAAAGTAAGTAATACTCCATAAAGATGAAGTTTGTTTTTTTTTTTAATTTTCCCTGCTCTAGGAAGGAGAATCCTGGTTCTGTATGATTAGTACTCAGTTTAACATGTGTTACATCCTGGAAGCGATAAATTAAGAAAAATAAAAATACTCTGTATCTAGGATGCCAAAACACTTAAAAATTAATTCATTTTTATCTATAGCACTTAAGGTATCAAAGGAAATGTTGTATCTTTGTATAAAATGATAAACTGTATAGTAAGTTATATTATGAGATTCTTAAGTTCTGTTTAGTTGACAGGGGTAAAAGGCAAATTCTAACTTTCTTTGTATATCAGAGCATGTAATGATACCAGAATATCATTCCCTGTCTGACTCAGCAATATAATGACTAGGAAAAATGGAAAAAAAGTAAGTTTTACTAGTTTTTATAATGTTACATTTGACAGCACTATTTTTGTTATGATATGAAGAGCTTTCAAGTTTGTACTTTTTTCCCAAATAGTAGTCATTTAGTATAATAAGTCTCCAGTGCTCTGGGTTTTTGTTGTTTTTAACCAAGGTTGGACATAGAAATTACCTGGGAAGAATTACTATTTAGAGCTATGAGGCCAGGGATACATACTTCAAAATACGTATCCCTGGCCGCATAGCTCTAATAGTAAATACATCTGAACCAGAGTACCTGCCTCTAATTTTATTTCTGTGTGAGTGTGGCATTTGAGCACTCTTATTATGTAACCAGTCCCACACTCCTGTCAACTCCCCACCAGCCTAACATGAGATAGATTTGCCTTCAGCAGGCCTCATAATGCTAGAAATATAGATGAAACTCTTGTAAGAAGTCAGAGATGGAAATTACGCCTTAGAGTGGTTTGTGAATATGAAATTTGACATAGTTAGATGAAAACCGGTAAGAAGGAGCTGCCAAGAAATAGAATCAGAAGAGAGCCTATCAAAGTAGCTTGGGAAACCAGGTGTGCCAAACAGTGTGGCATGCAGTGTAGAGAAATGGGAGGCAGGCCTCTGGCTGCTGTAACAGCTCTTCAGAGTGCTCAGTCATTTGCTGTGCTATTGTGTGGGTTTACCAGATTGACCTAAGCAAGCTAAACAGAGTTTGTCTGCCCTGTTAGGCAATTTTAGATTCAAGTAGCCAAAAGGCAATCAGGCTATTTTAGATAATAGGAGGTTGATTGGAAAGATATATGGAGAAGGAAGACAAAAACCTAGTTGCCACACAGCTAGATCTCACAGATGCTGGAAAAGTTCAGAAAATAGGTCATTCAGCAACAGAAATCCATTGCTTTAGATGTAACTCAATGATTAATCCCTTGCTACAGTTCTTCCACTATTATTACTGAATAATTTCCTTATACTGTTCTCTTCAGCTAATTGGACCCTTCTCTGTCCCTTTGGCTCCTACCCATGTTACCAGTCTCACTCTCTCAACATGATTTTGTGAATTTTGTTATGTAAGAGGAAGAGAATGACTGGCTAAGTTTTTTACTCCCCCATATGGGGTGTCTGATTTAAGCAGAACTTCCAGGCCAGTCCACGTCATGTGCCATAGTCCACCCTCTGGACTCCTTGAAGGTATCTCGCTCAACACCTTGTGTTGGAGCTATTCAAAGAGCCCACTGAATGTAAATTACCCATTTCTTAGGCACATCCAAAAGAAGTCAAATACAATGACAAACACCTATAAAATATAAAACCACCAAATATGTGAACAGAGTAGTATTTAATTCCGCTCATGTGTTTGGAAAAAAAGGTTTTCCCCTTTTTTTTTTTTTGATGGAGTCTTGCTTTCTCACCTGAGCTGGAGTGCAGTGGCATGATCTCTGCTCATCGCAGCTTGTCTCCCAGGTTCAAGCAATTTTCCTGCGTCCTCCCGAGTAGCTATTACAAGTGCAAACACCATGCCCGCCTGATAGATTGTTGATCATAAGACATAGTTTTCAAAACTCTGTGGCTTCTAAGTCCTATACCATATGCAACTCAATCAGAATCTCTGAGTGTGGGTTTTAAAATCAGGTGAATAATTACCCAGGTACATTTTGATATAATCGTTTTATGCGTCAGTCTTAGGGAAGTGATAAAGTATTTCACAATTGCCTTTCAGTTTTCAATTTGAGTTATTAAACATATGCTTTATAGACGTGCCATGATGCTTGCTGTGAAGTACTTTGGAATAACAACGTAAAGTATCAAAAGCTAAATGGTAGATCTGTAAGCTAAATGGCAGATCTGTTTTATGGAAATATTTCTCAGGTGGGAAAGATCACTGTGGGTTTGAGTGAGAAAGGAAGACTCCAGAAGAAGGCTTGAATTAGGCTAAAATTCCACAAAGCATTTAGACAAAGGAGAAAAGAGGGGCTGACGGTATTTCATGGAAAGTAAGTAAGAATATGTGTAGAGAGAATAGGGGAGAGAAATGTGTTCATGGTATCTTTTGAGGATTATGAATATGCTGCTATCATATGATATATGATAGCCTTAATATGTACTAGTCAATAATGAACATGTTTCTGACTTGAAATCCATTAATTAATTATATAGAAAGTGTATTTATGAAAAGAAAGATAGATACAGACTCAAAAGGAAATATTCTTAACCAGTTTGGGTGAATTTTAGGACATTTCTGTAATTCAAATTCTAGACATTTGCAAAACTAATAATTATTTTTCCACATGAGATTTGGGGATTTTTTTTTTTTTTCAGATCATCATAGTATTTAGGAATTTTAGTCCTGGAAAGGATCCTGGAGATCATATCATTGAAATTCATTTTACAGATGGGACCAAAAGAGTATATCTATTTAAAGACAGAAGCAGAAAAATCAGACTCGTAGCTCACTTGTCTCTCCTATGCCATATTTTGCATAATCTGATTCTTATATTCTCAGAAAACAACGCAAAGTCAAATGTACAGTCAGTTCAAATATCTGAAAGCCAAAGCCTCTAAGAAAAATGTTAAGTAATTAGATGTTCAGCACCAAGATAACAACTTCCTTTCTCTTGAACTTGGTACAGATGTATGCCATGAAACAAAAGGAAATAGACAGTGACAAAATCTACTTATTAAATAAAAATTTAAATTATTTTTACATATTCTTTACTAAGGAAAGCTGCTGTTTACATAGATATGATTCCCTTTTTATATTTTTTCTAATATTTTTATAATCTCCATCTGTCCTCAGATTATTTCTCAGATTTGTTTTCTTAATTTCATGACTTTTAATTATCCAGGTATTCTGCCCAATTTAAATAATCCCTCCCATATCACATTAAAGCTTTCTAATATGTCCCTTCAGCCCTTTTGAGAACTGTCATTTATCCATTTTTCTACATTCTATGGATATGCTGGTAAATTGTAAAGTAGCCTTTCATAAATCCTTATGGCATGCATAACCTTTCTAGTATCATTCACACTTGAATTCTTTTGCTCTGTCAAGTTTATATAGTGTAATTGTTCCCTTCATGACATCTACAGTATCCTTCTAAACCAATAAAATACAGTTTACAGGGGAGGATTATGAACAACAATAACAAAATGTTTTAATCCCTTTTGTTAGTCTAGGACCTATATATATGCCAAAGTTAACTTAGTAATAATTTATTTTACTTTGGGTCTTGTTTTTATTCCATTGCATTATTTTCCTTTTAAGTAAGCTTTTGTTGTATTCTCAGTTATTTTAACAACTCACTTGTGAATGATTAGGATAATTGTCTGAGAAACATCAGTTCCTAAAAGACTGCAGAGAGTATATACCAGAGATTTGGACGCATCCTGAGCTAAATTCCAAAAACCTGACAGTACAGAGAAAGCAAATATACATATATATTCAATGAGTTAACTAAAGAAAGACCAGCAGTGATGGCAGAAGCAAGTGTCAAAGAGGGAACAAATGAAGGAGGAGAAGAAATAATTTTGAGACTAGTTGAAAGGTAAGATGCTGATGAAGAAGAGAAAGGCCTTACCCCACTGAATTATCCTGTGATGCACATAGCACCACATTGTTAAAGAATACTTTTGTATTCCTGGAACCATTTACCTGTGGCACCAGCATTACATGACATGTTTTAAAAACTGCTCACATCAGCTAAAGGCAGTGTCTAGAAAATGAGAGAGTGAGATGCAGGAAAGAATCATTCTAGGAGGAGGAAAACCCCAAAACATATTCTAGAAGGTATTTCCTGACCTTGAGTACTTCTGCTAAGACATCTATAGATGTCCATTTTCTAAGGACATAAGGCTGTACAATAGTGAATCATAAACTCTAGGACCAAGAGCCGAACTACTCCAACCATCTAAGACAGACAAATACACTGAAGTAGGCTGACAAGAGGAGAAAAATTGTTTCTCCACCAAGACCGTATCCTTGACTTTGCCAATCTTAACATGAATACATTTTGCAGAGATCAGCTGCAAGTACCAGATGTACATTCTTTACAGTAGCTCTTGGGAAGCTTCCTACTTCCACTTTAGATCATACCTGTACTTGGGATAAGACTCTTGAGTTATCCTTAGTGAAAATGCACACTGAACATAACACCTTCTACCATTTTTTTTGGTAAGAAGATCACCTTTACTAATGGGCTTTAGGCTCTAGTGCCAGGGCACTTGCTTGGGTGTTATGCCTCCACCTTTTGGCCCTCGATGTGTTCATTTTGAATTTTTGTGAATTATAAACTGTTGTGTCACTGATACACAGGACTATATCCATAATTATCTTTATGCACAGAACCATGATCATAATTTTTACATTCTCTCACAATTTTGAATTTTATTTAAAATACAACCCTTAATCTCTTCTAAACATAGTGATCCTGTTGTGTTTATTCATTTTTAATCTTAAACCTCACAAAATCTTAAACACCTATGCCCTTTGTCATATATTTTCAGAACTTCATCTTGTTTTCAAAATTGTTATTTTCTTTGTTGATATATGTACTTGCTAAAGGGATAAAAATTGACTTTTTAAGTATTTTTCCTATATTCTTAAATCTTCTCTAAGGTTGACTCTTAACAGTATACTCTATACTCTACAGTATGAATCTGTTTCATGCCATTACTAAATTATCTCATATTGTGTTTTAAATTTAATAAGCAGACTTCCCTAATTGGAATCCCCTGTCTGCTTGTAACTACCTGTATGACCTTGGACAAGTTACTCAACTTTTGAAAACCTAAGTTTTCTCATTTATAAATGGAGATGAGTTTTCATATGTCATTTACCTGTTACGAAGATTACATGAGAGAATGCTTATAAATCACTTAGCACATTGCCTGGTACCACAGTACTAATTACTCAGTAAATGTTTGATGCTAATTATCATTAATTCTGATATAAATATTTAAATTCATTTTTATTTAATGTTTTGCTACAAAGTTTTTCTTTATGCTAAAGATTAAGTAGCTTTGTCTTATATTTGCATGATTCAGTTGAAAGAAAAAAAGATTTTCCTTGATCCTTTTGATGAGTTTAATGGGGCTCCTGAGTCTCTTGAAATTGTCAGTGAAATAGCAGGGTTATTACGAATCTGATCTAATTACCATCTGAGCCATAGTTCAGAAAAGAGGAAATATTATTTCAGTAGTAGCACTGAATTCATTTTATATATTACATAAACATTAGCTTTAGTGCTAGCCCCATTTTCTAAGGAGAGCAAAGTGTTAGCAGGGACATGATATTCTTCATCTGAGGGTAGCTACCTTATCAGTATTTTTCACTGCCACTCTGTACTCAAAGAAGTTTTCTTTAGAAGATGTGTATAAAAACATCTAAGGCACATCACGTCTCAGCTTTTGTAGGAAAATAACAAGAGACATTTCTAGTAATTCTATCACTTTGCTTCCTAACTGAAGTTCACTAGACTGTGTCTTAGGGAGGTAGTATGATATAATGAAAAAATAACAGTAATTAGGAGAAGATTTGAGTACAAGGTTGGGGTTTAATTCTGTGTATTAGCTAGAGCTCTAGCTCTGCATTTAAACAAATCTAGGTTAGAATCTTGTTTCTTCTTCTCAACTAAGTTTGGGGCTTAAAGTTAGTTACTTCTGAGTCTCATTTTTCCACAACTCTAGTTACTTCTCTATCTTTTGCCAATATATTTAACTTGGTTAAGCATGTTTCTTAATTTGAAAACTTGGTATGATAAAATCTACCTCAGAATTTTATGAGGATAAGTTATAATCAGTTTGTAGCCCTTGAAATATAGTAGGTTCTCAGTAAAGTACTCAATTTTACCTCTCTCCTCTTCACCTAGACTAGCCATTTTAGCAATTGATTATTAAGTAGCACTTTACTGCATTATGTTTTTCATTAATTACTCATTTGCAGTTGTTTCCTATGTCTTTTTTTATTCTAGACAATTATAAGGTATTTGTGTCTTTGATAAATACCTTTTATATATCTCCAAAGTGCTATGCACATAGTAGGTGCTCATCATATACTTTTTAGTTGAATCTGTTTACTTTAAAACTATTCCTTGTCTACTTCCATTAAATGCAACTGGAACCATTATAGAAATATGGTGAAGACGACTGGCTTGCCACAGCTCCAGAAGATGCAATTCATAGCAAATGACACCCCTGGAGTTGTCAGATTGTTCTTCACAACTGAAGATGTGTGGAAAAAGTTATTTTTCAAACTTGAGCTCTAAAGAAATAACTATTGTGGCTGGGCATGGTACCTCAGGCCTCATGCCTAGCATTTTGGGAGGCTGAGGCAGGAGGATTGCTAGTGGCCAATAATTTGAGACCAGTCTGAATAACATAGCAAGATGATGTTTCTACAAGTAATTTAAAAATGTAGCCTGTCATGGTGGCACACACCTGTAGTTCCAGCTACTAGGGAAGCTGTGGCAGAAAGATCACTTGAGCCCAGGAGTTCAAGGCTGCAAGTGAGCTATGATTGTGCCACTGCACTCCAGCCTGTGCAGCAGAGTGAGACCCTGTCTCTAAAAAAATTGTTTTTAGAAAAGAGGTATTGCAGTTCTGAGCTGGATGATATCAAGTGAAAAACAGAATACATAAATTAGGCTTATAGTGGACAGAAAGTATCTTCCATTACCTTAAAAAGAAACTGATACTTCCTACTGTCCTTGGTTATCTTGAGACGAACAACAAAAATGGAAGGATATTCAATAAGGAAACATACAGAATAACAGCTAAAAATGAAAGGCATTCATATCAATTTGGAGGTAAGTATGATGGTGAACAAGCACAGCAAAGGCAAAAATTCCAGCATATAGAATGTATAGCAATATTGCATTCATTTGTACATCTTAACCTTAAGCTGTACAAATATAGTATCTAAATGGTGTGATGATCAGCCCATAGTACATATCGTTGATGAGAATTTCACTGGTATTAACCTTTCTCATGCTGAGTACTAGCTTTGTAGAATGACTTACAAAAGGTCAAAGGATTTAGAGATGATTCAGAGAAAAGCTGGCTTTCGGTAAAGGCACCATTGTCTATCCCCTATCTAATCTAGATAAAGAATGTAGTGCTAAATCTTGTAATAATATTGTACAAATGGAAATTCAATCTTAAGGATTATTTTTTCCATATTGTTTTATTTCATTGTGGTGTATTGGAAAGTGATCTGGACTTTGAGTGAGAAGATGTGATTTGGACCATGGCCCTTAAAAACTCTATAACCTCAGGCAAGTCTTTTAATCTTCTCTGAGCCTCAGTTTTCCTCATTTTTTCAACTATAAAGACTATAACATTTATGTCATGAGTAAGACAAGTTATAGTAAATTACTGTTTTACAAATGTAACATAACTTAACTGTGGGATTCTGTATTCCAGTTCTACATTATTATATTTATCTTCTACAGGAAAAAATCCTCAGACTTAAATTTCTACCAAAAGACTGACACGTGGAGTTAATCGTTTGACAGATGCAATCCTTCCACCCCAAACAAAATATATTTTCTTAACTTCTGTTTATTATCACTTAGGGAAAAAAGGCAGTCAACAAGTATATTTAATTCTGCCTAGGAAGAGTATAGCCAAACCTTTTTTCCCATTAATAAATAATATAAGCCTTAATATTCAAAGTTAATAAAAAGCACAAGTCTGCCAAACAGTTAACTTACTGAAAATTTTTAAAAAATCAGCATTTGTTAAATTCAGAAATGGTAGGTACTTTTATATATTTTTGCAGGAAATTCACAATCCAGTTTTTTGATTCTGCACTGCACATTCCACCCCTTCAAGCCCAGAGACCATAGGGTCTAGGCTAACACACACATCAAAAGCAGCTCTAGAGACATATTTCCATTGTGGTAATACAACTTTCTTACTCTGGCAGAAACTCCACACCATTCAGCAACCCACTGAAAGTAGGGAAGGAGTGGGAAGCTCCTGTGTTCTAGCCGAGTTGTAAAGTTGCTCTTCACCTGTTGCTTATCCCCTACATTCTAGTTTTGTTGTTCTTTTCCCCCCAGACTGACTATCCATGCTTCTGGTGATTCCTAATTGTTACATGTGCTAATACTATGTAGGTCTCTCGGTGCAGGCTGTGTAGAGAACTGGCCTCAGCACTAGGAGACCGGACAGCGATTGCCCCATGAAATGACAGATACAGAAAGCTTCCATTCCCAAAGATCTTTTCCTCCTGTCAATACAGGCCTACATTTCTTTAGACCTTTTTGGAAGACCACTTATTTCAGACTCAGACTTTTCTGGGTTTAGTAATCTTCTATTACATAGAAGAGAGCCCTAGGACTTTTGCTAAAGAGGTCTGGCTAAGGGTCACAATGTACTTCTCTCTAGCATTCCTATAGAACATGTGTGAATGTAGAGTAACGATTAAAAAGAATGACTCAGTGAGTTGCACTATCTGCAAGGTCAATGGAACAGGAATGAACATTCAGCCACTGGCCTATCTGTGCTTACTGAACAACCCAGGCCTTTTTTTTTCCCTTCTGCACCTTTTTTGGATACCAGATGAAATCTGAGCAGCTGCCCCTTAGCCACCTAAGTGATTTCCCCAAGACAGATGCCATTATGTAGCCAGTGGGTCTCCCTGACTTCCTCCCCGGTTTGAGAACAGGAAGAGCAGTGCACAAGAAAAGTCTATTGAGCTGAGGATCTCAGAGAATTTAACTAATTCTCTGAGATCCAAATGTTGGGCAGAATACATTTGTTCAAGAACACTGTGTACATTCTGGTTTCTCCAAATACGAGAAACAGATGGAGTAATTAATTCAGGATAAACAAAAAACCAAAGCAAACAGCAAGCCATTATTTGGTACCTGTTCAGTTATTTCACAGGAAAGGAAAAGGAACAAACAAGCTTTTGATATATCCTCTGTCTCCAGTAACAACAACCAGTGACCAAATCCAAAGTTTTCTTCAGGTGACCCTTCTAGCATTTTAATTGACAAGCCCCTGCTGAAAACTTTATACCCCGGATTTTGTAATATGGCATTCTTACACCCTCCTTTTTAAGATGATTTCTCAGTCTCGAATATACATAACAAGTCCTGACCTTTCTCCTGAGATCCAGAACCAGATCTGAATACCACATGAGCAGTTCACCTCAGTACATTCAAAATCAGTATCATCTACCTTCGAATCTTTCTCCACTCCTTTTCCCCATTTTCCCTAAGACACTGTCATTCTCATAGTCATACAAGATGGAAATCTTGGAGTCATTTTGTCCTCATCCCACATGTTCATCCTCTTTTGTCATTTGGTCTACATTACTTTTCTCTTCCCACAATTGCTGTCTTAATTACATTGTATCTTTTTCTGACTTTTAACTAGCCTCTTAAATTATCTCCCAATATTTAGTCATTATACCCCATGATTCATCACTTATTGTAGGGTAATGTCAGAATTATTTTAAGGTAGGTACTGATTATGATGCTTCTTCATTAAAATCCACTAATAAAAAGGGAGGGGAAAGTTAATACATGTCCCTTCTAGAAGATACAGATAAGCAAAATGAAGAAAAAAAAATATATTAATAAAGCCCAACATGCAGGTGATCAGATGTCATCAGTTTAGCCTGTACATATTTGAACCTCGGGAATGATGTAATACATATTTTGTTAGCTGCTTATTTTTCTTTTATAACTCATCAGCATATTTCTACATTCAGCAGTTAACTACATTCTACAACATTTATGATTTTATTAGCTGTATAGTAGTATCATTGTATGAATTGCCACTACTATTTTAAGTTTTGTGCCATCTAGCTTTTTATGGCACAGCCTTCACTATTCCCTGTGGTTTAGTACAAGACTCGGTAACTGCTACCAGTTTAAGGGTATCCTCTAAACTAAGAATGGCTTTTACAGTTGTAAATCACTGAGGGGTGGGAAGTCAACAAAGAATATCTTGTGACATGAAAATTATGAAATTCAGATTTCAGTGCCTATGAATAACGTTTCATTTAAACGCAGCCAGGTTTGTTTTTATGTGTAGTCTATGACTGCTTTTGTACTACAACAGTTCAGTTGAATGTCTTCAACAAAGACCCATCGCCCACAAAGTTTAAAACATTTACCTTCTGGCTTTTTACAGAAAATGTGCTAATGCCTGGTTTAGCCATGCTGAACACAGCACTAATAAATGTGTTCTCATACTTTGATACCTTTCTTCATCCAACTTTGTTCTAGGCTGCTGTCCCTTCATCTTACTTGTTCTCAGAAGTTTTGCTTTGTTTGTTTTTCAATTCTCCTAACACCAGGAATTTGTCGTTTTATCAAATCTGTCACTATATTGTACTTAATCATACCCAGCTCTTTCTCTCCTTTAGCTAAAAGAAACATAAGGGCCATGACTTTCATTCATTCCATTTTTTGCAGCACACCTCTATGCACGGTATTCTAGTACGTAATAGTTGTTAAATCGTGATTGAGACAGACTTTTGCGGGCCCTGAGTTTGAGAAAATAGCTAACATTTTGATTCATGTTTCTTTAGAAAAAACGTTTTGAATTTCAATTAATAAACTTGCTAATGAACCTATGGATTATTTGTCCTCAGCAAATCAAAAACAGCATTTTACTCTGAATCATGATTGTTTTTCTTTGTGTAGAGTCTCTCTGCATCCCTGATGGACTTTAAGCAACAATAAAGTGACATGGACTAGAAGGGAATGGTTATTTCCCTTAGGTTAGGGGAAGTGGGAGGTTCTCGGGGCACATCTGTGCTAGTCCTAGCCTTTTATCTTATCCCCGTGTACAATTTGCTAGTGTTGCCAATTAGCTTCCATCTTGTATTACTACCTGACTTACACTTGACCATGCGTATATTCACTTCACAATAAACCAGTCACAGCAATCAGTGCTTTGCACATGCAGACTGTTACTATTAATAACTCCAGTGCAGTTCATTCATGACAGAGTGGAGCAGAGTCCACACAGAAGCTGAAGATGGTACCCACGGCTGCTTCTCACTAATTCTGGAAGCAGACCACATAACCAAAAAGCACAATTAAGGGGAGTAAATTCAGTTTTCAGTATTTTTGACAGTTTTCTTTGTATGATACAAAGGCATTTACACATTTTTGTGATAAGCATTATTAGAAAAAACAATATCCAAGCACTATAGAACCATTAATCTATAAGAACTGTTAGTTATACTATTAGATTATGCATCAAAATTATTAGATAAATGTGAAAAGGGAAAAACCGCATGTCAGATACTGTTCGTTAGAAATGAGAGACTTAATTCCTTGAGTGAAAATATCAATACAAAACATACTGGAACATACCTTGGACATTTAATATTTATATAACGAAAATAAAAGTGAAATCTGAAATACTGATTGAATAGAGAATAACAGTTCATACTCTTCTCAGAAACATTATACCCAGCAAAATATTTTTGTGCTTCAAGTGTTTCTAGTGTCTTGAACAAATAAAAAAATCTAACTTTTTAAAATGAAAATGAGAGTTTTGAAAATAAAAGCATAGTAAGTGTTTCTACCTGTTAGATGTATCCTTTATTGCAGGACAGTTAGTATCAGTTTCAGATTAAATATGTATTTGCCATTTCGTGACATAAACAAGTGATTGTTATAACAGCTTTCAAGAAAATTACTAAGTATTTCAGTTTCGGAAACCATAAAAAGAAAAAACAGCATAATAACTACAGATTGTAGTAAGAAAGTACTCACAAAGATCTTTTACTCTTAATGTACCTAAATATCATAGAACTCCTAAAAAGTTAGAAGATATAAAATTACCATTATGCATCAAATTAGGACTTTTGCTTTTATAGGGGTATTTTTAACAATAATAAAGATTATCTTTAGTGCTCCCTAACTTAAAATTTGCAGATCAATCCATGAAAAACAAAACAACAAAAAGCTACAGATCCCTAGTTTTAAGTTTCAGTTTATTTTATGATTAAGATTTCTTTTTGTATTAACCCTCATTCTTCAGTTAGCTACATCTTAAGAGCAAGCTTATCTACAACTGACACATCCATCTGCTTTACCAGCAGTGTTTTTAATGATCATGTAGATGGAACCACAACTACAGCTTAATGCCCTGATGAGGTTTATTGCTGACATTCTTCTTCATGGAGATGGTCA